TCAAAGTGTAAAAGAAGGAAAAGATCCTAGCAAACTTAACTATTTAAAGTGTGGGATACTGAGAGCTCTGAGCTAATGTTTATGTGAAATGATAAGTTATTTACTGAAGCTGCACAAGTGCTCATGCTGCCCAAAGTGACTCAAAAATTCTACCACAGGCTTATGATTTTAAGGATATTTAGAATGATTTAAAATATATGATTTATAATTCAATAATAAACCCATGATAAATAAACTTAATCCACTATTTAGATAATCCACCAGCAATCAGGAATTGCAGGCTTCTCTTTAGGGAGGCATAGACATGTGCAACAGTGTATGAAGTCCCATGACAGCTGTCTCACGAGGCACATGCATAAGGGGCCTCCTCCCACATAAGAAAAAAAGAGCATGTTTCCTGTGACTGAGCTTTAAGGGTTAATTGACTAATACATTTCATATTAACACCAAAATTCACCACAGAGGACTGACAGACAAATGAAACATTTCAGTCAGATGTAGTGCCTGAAGCAAACAGTGAACTTTCTGCTTCAGATAACCCTAGCATCTGTGTATCTACCACAGAGAAAATTAATGTATCAGTCTTGGGAAAAAAAAAATCTGATAAATTCTCATGTCACCACTGTGTAATGCTTTAGCTTAATATTTTTCTTAACAAAAAAACAGATTCCAGATCTTAGAAGTGATAGAGAAGACAATATTTCATTACATTTTCTCTGATGAACAAAAAAACCAAAATCAAAGGCAAATAAAGAAGAAATAGTTTAGTGTGGTTCAATGAATCTCTTTGAATACACAGCATGAATTAGTTGGAAATACTTGAAATTGTTTAAATTTCAACATCTTGTCTACAAAGTAAAAGAAAATGTATTTCAAAAAAAGAAGTATGTAATAGATTTGTGGCTCCTTCTGCTTTCAAAAATCCAAGAAAAACCTTCTGCCTCAAATTCTCTACACTCTTGGAAACACAAAATTTGACAAATTTTGGCTGGAGCTTCTACAGCCAATCCCCTCATTTTCTCACCAGCTTTTAATTTTTTTATACTTCTGGCCAGTTAATACACTTGACCAGACAGCTTCCATACATAGAAAATAACGCAAAAGACAAAACTACAGTAACGTGAAAGTAAAAACATTTAAAAATGAACAGGGAGTCCATATGCACTTAGTTTTTCCTGTGTCTCAATTCTGAACTTCAGACTCTCATGGTCCTAAAAAGATGCCTCAGACAGCTTGTTTTGCTAAAAGGAAAGCTTGGATAACTGCCTTTTGTAGTTACCAGAGAGTGGAATTTAAACATTGTTTATAGCCTTTACTATGGTAAGGGTATTTTTATGGTGATTGGTTTGCAACATCAGCAAAATGAAACCTGTAACTTGGGCAAGAGACTGAAAAGGATGTCTTGACACCTGATCAGGACTATGAAATGTTTCACCTATAGCTGTTTTGCTACTTTTCTGGCATGTTTCTTAAATTGCATGTACTTAGTGCAATCTCCTGCAAATTAAAAGCAACTTCATCTGGACAGTTAGGGTGGGCAGCTCTGTAAGGACACACTTCCCATTTCAGAGGCTTAAAATCAGAGACAGTCAAAGACTAATTTAGTTCATGCACATGGAGCAGCACTCCCAAAAGTTTGAAGAGAAGCAAGTGTGCCCATACAGGTCAGCTCCACAGTGCCTCCAACATATCCAATAGAGAAAATAATGAGAATGAGGTGTCTGAACACATTATATACATCCATAAACTAAGGAAATGCTGTGAATCATTGATGATTAAACATTAAAACTCCTGTTGTGGTTTAATCCCAGCTGTCAACAAAGTATCACACAACCATTTTCTCACTCCCCCGCTGGGATGGGGGAGAGAATTGAAGGGTAAAAGCGAGGAAAGACAGTAGAACAGGTAAAGTAAAAGCCTTGTGCACATGAAAAATGTCACAAGAAATTAATTTACCACTTCCCATGGGCAGACAGGTGTTCAACCATTCCCAGGAAAACTCTCAAGCACATGTAACAATGACTTGGGAAGACAAATTCCATCACTCCAAATGTCCCCCCTATTCCTTCTCCTTCTCCCTGCTTTATATGCTCAGCACAATGTCATACAGTATGGGATTGTCCCTCTGGTCACTTGGGGTCAGCTGTCCTGGCTGTGTCCCCTCCCAACTCCTTGTGTGCCCCCAGCCTGTTTGCTGGTGGGGTGGGGTGAGGAGCAGAAAACTTCTTAACTCTGTTCTGTGCAAGCTCTGCTTAACAAACTGCAACATCCCTGCGTTATCAACCTGTGCTCAGCACAAATCTCAGACTCAGCCCCATACCAGCTGCTGTGAAGAAAATTAACTCTCCCAAAACCAACACAACTCCTGGGTCCAGTCCAAGACTGGCTAGCTGGAAAGCCTAGATGTTAAAAACGCAAATGCTATGCTCTTACCTCATGTGCTCTGATCCATTTACTGTATTAGATAAACAGCATTAATCTGAACAAAGCTATTGTAGTGCCTAATGGAGCTGTGAATGACTGTTTTCTGATAGGTGAAGAGATTTCATGGGATTAGCCCTAATCAGGTACTTTATGTAATGAGAATCTCTCCATCCAGCATTGAACAAAGCCACACAAAACAGTTCTTTCCCCATATCTCAGCAGGGTTGGGATAGACAAAAAGATAGATTAAGGAAATGTCTGAGCAAGGAATACTTATTTTCATTGGTTCAATAAATAATAAAAAAATAAGGACAAGTCTAACTTCATAGACAGTACAAAGACACATATTTACTCAAATTCACTGCAAAACTAAACAGAAAAACCTGGCAGATTAAAAGAATCTGAGTTAATTCCTCCCATATTTTGGACATTTTTCAAATTGTGTAGTCACTGCATTTCATTAGACAAGTGAGCAGTTGAGTTTTGTACATGCAAGTTCATATTCCATTTAAATGTAAAGCAATATATTTATTAAAAGATAAATTTATCAAAAAGCTTAATTTTTATCAATTTATTTAACATAGTATCTTTGTGAATATATCAATTTATGTTATTGAAGGGATTTATTTTCTCAAACAAATATCAAAACTGAGGATGTAAAATAAATATATAAAACTGAGCTTTTAATGTTCATGAAAACCTCATGCATATATACTGGATATCTGCTAAAACACACTAAAACATAATAACCTATTCAAAAAATATTTTCTTTAAAGAAATTGCCTACATTTAATATTTAAGCCTTAGGGAAAAATTAAAGCAACAACACTTTTACTGCATAACATTCTCATAAAACATGGATGAGTGCTTCACTTCTGATAAAACAACATGCATCAGCAATTCATTGTATTAAGGTACTAGCAGATCAGGGGATAAAGAAAATCATGTTCAGAAAGATGAGAAAGATGATTTGTTGATTAAAAAATAAAAATAAAACCCCAAGCAAATCAACAACAGATTTTAAAATGAGTGCTATTGTTGCCCTATATAGCCTTCAGATGTTATTGAAGATACCAACTTTTCTCTAGCCCTATTTTTTTTACCTCTGTGCATTTTGAAATTAGATAGATAAAGTACTCCCAAGCAAGCAAAAACGGAGGAATCAGATCAAAGACAATACAGCATGACAGATAAAGGCAGAGCTATCTCATAATAATAAAACACAGGAAAACAATCCACTTTTCATCAGGTCATATGGTTCATGGACTGTAGGAGCACATGGTATTCAGATACTAGCATGGAATTATAATACTGTAGGAGGCTTGAAATGGAATTAAAATACTGTAGGAGGCTTGAAATGCTAATTCATGCTAAAATTGTATATCTGAATAAGCCCCTCAGCTTAATCATTGAAATCAAGTTGAAACATGGGTCAGCTTTAGCTATTAAAAAAACCCCAAAACATTAAATAAAAAACTCCAGTGATGTCTTCATGTGAACTCATCACAGAAAACTAAGAGAGAACCAAAATGGCCTAGTGACAGCAGTCTGGATGTGCAAATTACTGGTAAAATGGTAATTCCCAGCTATAGAAATGGCAGAGGAATTTTGGCCGTTATCCCCTTAGACAGTAGGGTCCCTGTGATCCATGATTTTGTTTCTGATCACAAACTGCACTTTTGTGAATATTTGTTAATGGTATTGAATCAGTAAACATCAAAAGGCATATCAAGATTTTTTTAACAAGACAGTGTGTCTAACCCAAGAGTGTAGACATACCTGTAATTTCACAGATTGTTTCAGAAAATTCAGGCTCCTCATAAAGGAGTATGGCGAGTCATAAAAAAACCCAAAACAAACCATAAAAAATAGTCTAGAACCATAAAATACAAGTTGAATCACCACTAGAGGGAGAGTTAAATGCAGAATTATTTTTGTGCAGAAATGCAGAAAAGGCAGTGAACCAAATGGCAAGATATGAAATGCATTAAAGAGAGACAAAACAGAGCTCTGTGGAAATTTAAAACTGATCTGAAGATGGAAATGGCAATGAGGATTAAAACTGCAGGCAGGAAAAAAGAGCTAGCCTTTTTATGAGTTCACAATGTTCTCTGTACTCCTGCTTGCAATTATACTCTAGGGTGGCAATCAGTCATCAGGAGCATCCAAGAAGAGTAATATCCAGTGTAATGGAAGTTATTTCATTCATATGTGTGTGATGAGCCTTTTCCATAATCCAGAATTAATTTCTTCTCCATCAAATGTAGTCAAATCATACTACACTAGTGTTTAAGCACAGTGAGACTCATAAACCTTAAGAATGACATTTCAATCACAGTTAAATAAAAGTCAGAGGGAGCTTAAGCTCATTTTTAATATGAGACATAGTAACGTTTATTTCAAACACTGGCCTGAATATATTGAAAAGTAATATTCAGCAAAGGGAAGTCTATGGAGAGGCCAATGTATTCTGTCTTGCTTTATAAAGAGAGGTGTATATACCTTATCAGACTGCTTGTTCAAAAAAACCCACCATTTATTTATTCCTTTTTTTTTTGCATTGCCTTAGCTCTTACCTTCCAGACTCGAATGTAAACCATGTTGAGTCACGTCCATATCTCCTCAAAGAGCTCAGAGGCCACATGACCAGCTTGACCTTGGCATTGTGGATGTCCCAGAGATAGATGTTTTCGTGTGTGATCTGCATTGTACATTCCCCATAGATATCTAAATTTGGTGTAGGCATAAGGTATACATTGAATCGTTCTGGAAAAAAACACAAAGACATTACAGGTTAAAGCAAGATTTTACACTGGAAAAAAAAAAGTGAAGTCTTTAGTTGTGATGATATAGAAATCATAGCCAAATTTCTAGCTTTAACAGAGGTGAGGATCCATTGATACTGAAGCAGTTCTGCTAGTGCATAAGAGAGGAGTGAGAGGAGAATCAGCAGTCTGAAACATTTTTCACAGATGATCTGCATAGTCCTCTTGGGCATATGTTCCCAGCACCTTTACTGAAGTCCTTTTCTACCCTCACATTAATCTCCATGGCTCTTTACAAATCAAAATTCAAAATGATGATAACTCTGACAGAGACTCTTCTCTCAAAGAACAGAACTAAAGGTATCCTGGCAAAATATGTATGTACAGCCATTGCCTCTTAGAAAAGCTGTCCTTGAAATTGCAAATCCAAGTTTACTTATTGAAGCTTGTAAATAATTACATCCCTTGCATTCAGTTTCTGTTTATTTGCCAAAGTAATTCGTATTTGCAAAATTAATAACAATTTTAATCTTCTGTTGCTTTCTTTAAACATATGATTCAACATGATATATTATTATGGTCATGACATCAATCACTATCAGCTGCACTTTGTTTGCAAAGTGCACTTATTGCAGTAGGAGGTTAAGGGCATTAATAACATTCTGAAGTGCCTGAATTGCATAGGATTTAATAAGCAATGCAAATAAAAAAATCATAAAAAAGGTAAAAAAAAAAGGAAAAAAACAAAGTGATGTAAAACACCATTAACTCATATGGAAGGAAGTAAACATTATTAAGAAGAGAAATTGAAATAAAAATGCAATTTTCTTTGAAGAATAACTAATATTTCTATGAGTTGCTTCTACAAAAAATTAAAAACTCAGTTAAATTTCTGTATATTGTACAGTTGTGTAGTTGGAAGAGCCAGCCTATATTTTAATGCTACATACATTGCAATATTAGGGCTTAATAACATCATACAAGAGAGTGCAGTACATTCACAACTTTACACTCACAGTTTTTTTTTCATCTTTGAAATGGGTAGAAATGCAAAATGTCAATTCTACTGTCTGAAGGTGTTGACAAAAAGAGGTAAGAACAATTCAAAGTATGAGCATGAGAAATGCTTATTCAGTAACAATATTAGGAAAATGCTCTTTAGAGAGACAACTGATAGGAAAACTGTCTCCAATTACTTGATAAAGTAAAAAGTGTTTGGTGTAGAATATTTTTAATCTACCATTGGAACTGAATTTTCTCACAGCGTCCTCACAAAAATTGGGAAGAAATTTAAATTTAAGTGAGAGAAATTTCCTGCATCATCAACATTAGCTTCCTGTTCTGTTTGAAATTCAGTATCATAGACATTATGTGTCTAATTTTTAAACATTTTATATATATATGTTTTTGACAAAATAGTTAAAATATTGCAAGTGAGTTAATATAAAATATGAGTGTGTGTGAATTTGTGTCTCTGTGAAAAAAGAGGCAAAAGTTTGAGGAATTAGAGAAAGCAAGGAATTGCTGGCTGTGCAATAAAAATTGCTGCATAGCTATAAGTAAACTTGTCATCCCCAATGTTGTTCTGTTTCAGTCAATTTAATTTTGTACTATTAATGGCTCACCAATTTATTCATTTAGTCACAACCTCTTCTCCCAGGCCCAAGTTCTCATTAGTCACACTAATGGGTTTTAGCCCTAAAAGTTTAATTTTATGACTAGGATCCCATGTGTGAAACTCCAGACATTTTGTGAAAGTCTTGTGACACAGCACAAGTAGATTAGCAGAGGCTGCTGAGATCCCTGAGGAGAATTTCCCCTAATGCTCAGAGCAGTGCAGGGGGCAGGGGTGTAATGTAATGCCTACTACACTAAATGGAAGGACTCACACTTGGGAGTAATGGGTCAAAGACTGAATTGGGAAGGGAATGGTGGTGAACAAGATAACTTTCACTTTGCACTGCAATTATATATATATATATATATATATATATATATATATGTATGTATATATATGTATATGTATGTATATATATGTATATGTATGTATATACACCCTTTCAATATCCATATGGCATCACACAGAAATTCCTCGCAGCTCTGCAGGTGTACTTTGATCACGTATTAGACTCCAGCTTTGCACTGCCACACTGTCAGTTGTTGCCACTTCCCTCCTCTGTTTGAAAGAAAGATGCAGGAACTGGCCTGTCAGCTCTTTCTCTCTTGCATGACACGAAATAGCACAGTGTGGTTATGGGGGATGGGGTTACTATATGAGAATGAAAGTCTTTCTTTTTTCCCATCTTCACTGACAGAATGCCTCAGACAGCAGAGAAAATGAAAAGGTACAATTATTTTTTGAAGTTAACATTAAACTGCTGTGTGGAAGGCACAAAGTACTTCAACTTGCTTTGGATGTTACCAGGTTAGTCATGAAATGCTCAACTTCTCTGAAGTGTTTGAGAGTATTATTGCATGAAGGGCATTCAGGACATATGGTATCCTCAAACTGTCAGGAGACATTTGCTGACTTTGCATGGGAGGTCAGTGTCTAAGGTGAGATGTCAGGAATTAAAGGAAGTATGTCTGATTAAAGTGAACATCAGCTGCAGGGCAAAATGCAGCACCCTTGGAACTGAATCAAATTGGCAAGAAAAACAAGTGTACAAACATATGTGCTGGAGAAGATTGAGGATGGATAGATTTAAAAAAAAACCAAAAAACTGTACTTTTGAATAATGGACAACTGAGGACATGGAAAGGTGTAGATACTATTAAATGGTTTTATTGGTTAACATGAAGGGTCAAATTTTTCCACTTCAGAAAATATTTGAGCAGGTATCTAGTTAATGGTAATATAGCTATTCCATCTTTAGTGGCATGTTTTCCCCTTAGACTTATCGAGGCAAAAACAAACATTCATCATAGGACAGATTTGGGAATCCCAGCTGAATTCTGACACCAGATCTTCTAAGTGTCATTGAATAGGATATTTTGCTTCTCCTTGGTTCATATACCATCTGCATATGAGTAGGATGAGATAATAACAGTCCATTGGCTAGTAAAACTCAGCAAATAGAAGTTAATAAGGGACCCAGAAAGCAGGGAGATGGAAGAAACCAAACAAGTAGATGTGATGTTGTTGAACAAGGTAAGACTGGGACTGAACAGGCCCAATTCCTCAGCATTCAGGATTTATATCCTCCTCTCTTCTCTAAACAGGTGAGAGCAAATTTCAGGGAGTAGGGGAGCCAGGATGAGAAAAAAAGCTAATATATTGCTACACTTATTTCACTCAATGTGACTGCTCTTTCCCATCTCCTTGAATAAGCAGAGCAATGATTCATCATACACTTAGTGCATGTAAAGGTGTTTAGCATTTGGGCTTTGGCAAGAATACAACATTTAATAATGCTTTCCAGGGCATAAGAGCATAAGAGTCTTTATGAAAATGAGCATATTGACTGAGACAGAGACTTGGCAGCAACTCCAAAATGCTCTCAGCCTTCCAGCTGTACTGGGGGAGCAAAATGACCGGATCCTGATTCTGCCATGTTATCACTGGATTCCTTTGGTTAAATCATCCCAGCTGGAAAACTGACCAGATGACATTGCAATCTTGCAATCCAGATGCTTGGTTTCATTTCAGCTTTAATGATGGGTAAAAAATTATTGATAGAAGGATACAGTCAGGTGGTGGCACCTATATAAATAAGTAAGGCTTTGAAAGCAAATATTCAATTTATATGTGAAAGAAACTCGTCCACCTGTGAGACTTCTGCTGCTGACCAACTATTTTGGTCAATTGGCTAATTTTCAGGTGGAAAGAGAGCCTAAAGTCTTGAAGGTGCAGCATTTTGTGTTTATTCATATCTTAGGGCTATTAGAATGTTTCCCTTCTGCTGTATGCAGTGAGGAACCAGGATTTCAGAAGAAAATTTTTTTTCCCTTTGCTTATAAATATTCTGCTTTACATTCATTAAAAATGTAAGCATCTCAATAAAAATATAATGGTAGGTAAAGACTTCAAATTGTTTCAGTGGTAAGTAGTAAGGTGGAGAAGAATCTCAAGTCTCACTGTATTAACATTAAAACTGTAAACACCTTACTTTTCTGAATAAAGCTGTCTGTGTTTCATTTATTTTAAAAAGCCCAACAAACAAACCTATTGTATAAAAATGGATTAAGGATAACAGAAGATGAATAAAAATCCATGCAAAATGCTTTTATGTATTAAATTACAGATGTTCTACAGACCCTAGAAAAATGCCCTAAAACAAGTCACTCTGTGAATGTAATTACAAAGCGTCTATGCTTTGGCTGTAGTTTGTAATCTCAATATGTAGCACAAAGAAATGCCTTATAATCCTCTTCTGAGGATTCAAGGACATTGTTCACTATGAAAAGCTACATTTTTACTAACAAGAATTAATGAGTTTCTTGCAATTAAAATACAGGAAGCAAGACTGCTGGTCCTGTGTTGGGTTTTTAAATAAAAAAGGAAGGTAAAACCAATAAAAGAACGAAACTTTACATAGGATGTAATTTTATTAAATACTAATTTAAATATTAAGGAGGGAGGAAAAGCAAAAATTTAATTATCTTTCAAACTTTTCCAGACTTTGAAAATAAAAATTAGGTTTATCATGGAGTAAATTTTAAAAAAAAAATAAAGCCTCAAAACACATAATTAAATAGCCTCATATTGATATCACAGGACTGAGTTAGAAGTAAATAAGATATAACAGCAAATGATGGATCTGGCCTTTTCTTCAGTTTAAAAATTTGCATTTTAACGTTTGCCCATTTTCTTCAAGTTTTAAATCAGGTTTACAAATAAAGTTTAATGGAAAATGGCTTTGTAACAGAAAGGTTTAATAGAAAATTATTTCACATGAGTATTCAAATATTTTAGTGCTATTATTTAGTATTTAAAACTGAAATAGAATCTTCACCAAACAGATGCACCTGCTCCTTAAAAGTGAATTTATTAATAGTCTCTGTATAATGTTTTTTTAACCAATATTATATTGAATACTCTGATTTCTTTTTTATAGTATGTTATATAATGTCCATTTGGATGACATCTTTCAAGTTGCTTCCTTTTATAAAGAATGAAAATAGTGAGACATTGGACACACAGTCCGTTGTGAGAATGGAGAAACTCTAGATATGACATCACCTGGGAAGATTAAAAAAAAAACAAAACAAACCCAAAATTTCTTTTGTCATTATGTTTGGGGTGTATTGGCACATACTTTCAAATGCATTGAGAGCTTCCAGTTCCCAAATTCCAGTTCTTCCAAATGAAGTCAACACACTACACTACATTCACAACTTACTCATCTAGCAGCATCTTGAGAAACCTAAGGATTATGAAATGTGCATGAAAGAATCACAGCATATTGCTTAGAAGACTTGTCAACAGCGTAATCAGATCCAACCTAGTCCAGGTTTTCTTTCATGGAGCTATAAGTGTGTATTATTATTTGTCTTATTGCATATAAAGCTTCACTGCTATTATATGAATTTATTCACCTATATTATAGGCAAATAAATTACCTGAATAGGATTCTGAAGTGAGGCCTCTACTGCTTTTGCTTTCATACTGTATTTTAATTTTTTAGCAAATAATCTAAAGAGAAATTCATAAACGCTAGAGACCATGTACAGTGTGAAAAGAAATTTAAACAGAAACAAGGTTGCTGCTTTAGGGCTGAGGTACACCAACAAATCACTTAGATTTGCAGGAGAGAGAAGATAAAATTGTTGGAGAGCAACAGAAGCTTCATTTCACATCTCCGTTTAATTGGAATTTGTACATCATTCCAAGCTAAGCAGCCATTAGTTTTGAGCCTTAAATTTCAAAAGAAAACCACCTAATAGTCATTTTCTGCAGCAGAGTTTACACAGCGAGCCTTGCGGTAAGCAGTAATGGAGCTGAAATCCAGTGAGAAGCTTCCTGTTACTGATGTGCTTTTCACAAAAGTAGCTTAGATGTCTTCTCTGTCCTTCCTACAAGACACAGCAGCAGAGCTCTCTGCTATAAGCAGAGCAGCTCTACATTTTGCCTTGCTTTGCTGCCACCACTGCAGAACTGTTTGGTGCTGGAGGCTCAAACAGCAGCACAACTACGCTGAAACAGATCTCACTGGCACTTACTGACCAAGCCAGAGTGATAAAAGAATGCCTCTTTCAGGTATCTTAGATTTCTATTGTCATGTGACAGAGCTGCCTTGTGATTGTATGGCCTTTGCACACCAAACAGCAGTTTTGCCAGCCTTTGGAACAAATTTTTTTTTTTTTTTTGCAAATCATGTTGTTGCATTTCTGCTACAGAGAATCAGGTGTTGTCCCTTCTCAAATCTAAAGCTCATCTCAGAAGAACCACAAGAGCGAGACTGGCAGGATAAACAGGCTCAGAAACAATAAAAAGAGGTACTAAACAAATGATAGAAAACATGACTATTTTCTTTATCAAGTATTTTCTGAAATGTAATTTTTTGTGTAAAAAAATACAAGTATCATTTAGCAATTTTAGTGGCCCCAGGGCTTATACAATAACAATTACGAAAAATTATTTCAAATATTGCAAATTGAGGGTAGTGGCTTTGGTGGTAACATATAGGAAAAAAACTACAAATCTATACATCAGAGAGTTGTTTTTGTTTTTTTTTTTTGAGAGACAGCCAATTTATTTATCTGATGCATTTGATGAATACCCTTACATCATTAAAATGTCCTTTAAGAACAAGAATGGGCAAGTAGTTGAACACACGAAGAACTCTGCATATTAAAAATATATCTCTTGGAAAAGGTAAAGCAGTTCATGAAAAAAACTCACCTTATTAGGTTAGTTTTTCTAGTCCAAAGAGATATCTTTACAAAATTTTATACATTTTAGAAAATCTTTAGTAAAAAGTAACTATTTGGAAAAAAACTCAGTGGAATGGGATGCAATTAATGCTTAATACACCTGGTTTCTAGGATTAATGTATTAACCCCTGTTATATCACAGAGATCTGAACACTATGGCACCATTATCCAATATCTTTTTTTGCCTTTAAAAGTGCAAAAAAAATATCCAAAACTGAAAACCCATTAACACTATAATATTGATTACAATCTTGGTCTTGCTCAAACAGTAAGAGACATCTTTTGTTCAGTGACCTGAAAGAAAACCTTTGTATGGGTCAGGCAACAAAACTTGCATAAAACTAGATGCTGAGGCTGTGAGACTCTGTTACATGTTTTACAAACTGTACTTTTACATCTCTGTTTCAAGTAAGTAACTATTAATGACTAACTTGAGAGGAATTCTATGAAGTAGACAAGCTTGCAATATGTTTTGAAGAAATGACATTCAAAGGTACCACACTGGTATTCAGTTTTTATTTAACACAACAAAATAAAAATTATCCAGAGAGTGACACAGCTGCCATTTTCACAAACAGCAAGATTTTAGACACTTCATACACATAGCCACTGTTCATGAATTTTCAATTATAAATTAACTTTGACCTTTCAGTTTCAGGTCAAATAAGCTCAACAACAATATTTATAAGCAAAAGCTCAGTAGACTTTCAAAAGTTTTTGAGGTATATTTTGAACTACTGTTTTTGATAACACGTGTGTAAAAGCTGCATATGCGGAAAATGTGCAAGAAAATAAACTACAAATCTGAAATTATTCCACCCAAATCACCAAATAACTTCACCCTAGAACTACTCGCCTTCTCAACAGCACTGTCATGTGGGGAATGACACTGCCAGGTTTGCAGAATAAGATACCCAGTGTGAACTGAAGGCATGGTTCCACTCTACTGAAGAAATCTGCTACAGGAATTTCAGTGCAACTGCAGGTTCTTACAGCACAGATAAATGAACAAAATGTCAGATTTCATACCTATAGTAAGAATCTCTGCACTTTTTACTCCTTCCAAGTTGATTAAAAGACATCCACAACAGAATTTGTTTTGCCTCTGAACAAGACAACTTTGAATTTCAAACATGCTTATTAAAATGCAAAGTTGTGCATCAAGGGGATGAGGGAAGGATGAGGGTAGGTATCAGAATTACTTGTTTGAGGTACTGTAACTAATGATTTAGCAGAGCATGCTCGTCAAATATTGGATTATATGTATTCAGTCACTTGTTTTAAAAGAATACAGCTAATGATACCCTCCATGCATTATTATTCATGTGATTTGTACAACAAATACATGCTTTGCTTCTTTGTTTCCTTTCATTTATTTACTCAGAACAATAAAGATGCTAATTATGTTCATATATGCTGGTTGGTAACATTGCAATTAATTTCTAGACTAAAGCAATTGAATCAAGACAAGTTCATACAACAGAATGAATATATGCCTCCTAGAGGTCATGTGTGTCTAACATCTTTCAGGAACATAATAAAATGTAATATTTGCCATCCATGTCCAAAAGCTGCTGAAGAGTACATGAATTCACTGCAGAAAGAGCTTGACAAATTTCAAACTACTTTTCTGTTCATATCCCAGGCTTTTTGATGAGGCTTATTTCCTTTCACGTTTGTGAAAGACCTCCACCTGTTCACACAGTTCTCCCTTCAGTAGCATGCAGATGAGTTTAATACCTATAGCCTATGAACATATAGCAGATGGGGTGCTTTGAGTGCTGTCTGATCATTATCACTTTTCTACAACATTAGTAGCTCTCCCTTTGTTAAGTAGTTTGAGACTACAAATTGAATTCTGTGTCTCATAGCAGGTAAACAACTTTATGAACATTTGAACTTCTTTTAAATCCCATTTCAACGTCTGCTTTTTGAATAGAATTCCTTAAAGATTTCTGTGTATTTCCTGCTGTGTGCTATTAGGTTCAGAGAAATAATATAATAAATATAGTGCCATACATTCTATAATTTAATTACGTAATTTTGTTTATAATGATAGCTGGCTTGATATTTTATGACCATTGAGGCAGTGTGTGTTATTACTTTGTTGAAAGCTATTGGATCTTATAAAGGCATCAAGACAGTAATAATCATTGAGAGCTGTAATTTAGGGAGGGCTAAATGAGCACATTTTGTGTTGCCCTCGTGTTCATTAATAGGAATTAAATGACAGGGTAATCACAGATTTTCTTTTGTTATTGCCTATTCCATCCACTAGCATTCTTCTTGTGCATGTCTCTAATCCAAATAGCCTTTAGATGAAGACTTACAACTCAGGCTTAGTGCTGACTAACATCTGTCACTGCCCTTTTCACCCACATTTGACAGCATTTAGAGGACCCTGACTTCAGTATTCAAGACAGGTAGGAGTTTAAACCAAATATGTGTTTTGTAGTCCAAATTGCTGTTGGAATGTTCATCGCTGTCCTTAAAGGGCTGCAAAACAACAGCTGCTGCTTTATTCCTCTGCACAGAAGCCATCATTTCCAGAAACAGAAGGGTCATGGCCATCATTTCCCATGACAGGGAAATCTGAACACAATGAAGACACAAAGTCATTCTATATGTATTATTTGGCATGGAATTTAATCATCTTTATTTGTAAAAAATAATAGGCTTGAGCTTCAAAAGCATATCCAAATGTTTAGTTACTAATGATGTGCTTCCAGCTACTAGCAAAAGTCCTCACAACAACAAGCACAAGCAAAGATAAAATGGGATCTCACCTAAGAACTGATCTAGGAGTAAATAAAAAGTTACTTACCGTTTTGTTCTCTCTGGACTCCAGCAGCAAGCAAATCTGGTTCCCCAAGACTTATATCATTGAGCCTGGCCCCTAGACATTCCATGCAAAGATGCTTGCACCACTCCTCTGCCTCTAGTTCTGAGGAAACAGAAAGAAATCCATTGATGTTGATATTAAAAAAAAAAAACAACAACTTGTGAAGTTAAAGTGTTTCTTCACTTCTTTCTGAAGTGTTTCTTACTGACAAGGTTTATCACAATTTGTTTGCGTTGAAACATGAGTTATTAGCATAAAGTCCCACAATAATTTCTTTGCCTCAACTTATGAACTTTTATAAAGGGTTACATTATTAGGACTGCATCTTCCATCTTCAAATTTGAGGATAGGAAGTGGAGCTAGCAAAGAAGAGGAATAGTGAATTTTCAAGGCAGTATATTTCTAGTGGGACCTCTTGGAAGAGAAAATGCAATTTAGAAAAACTTCATATGTAATAACTGAAATATTCTTTACTGCTTTTTAGGCAAGTCTGAACTCCTAAGGTAATCTCTTTTTCTAAAGGTGTTAGAGAATTTTTCTAAGAGCAAAGGAGAAACAGTTATAAAACGCTCTTCAAATGCCAAACTTCCCTCTCTGCTGTAGTGAAAGACTATGCCTGTCAAGGTATTCTTAATAATTAATTTCTTCACTTCTGTTCACCTTTTGGTCTCAGGGCAACTTGGGCATTAGTTGAAACATTTATAAGAAGATTCAAAACTTCCCAGCCCTTTCTGAGTTGACTTTCCCATTGGCTCAATATGAGAGCTCTTTATCTGCCAGTCCACCAAAATGTGGATTCCATAAGGTGTAATTCCCATATATCACACAACATCCTCCTATTCAACGTCAGATTCATCCTATCCACTTCCCAAACTGAACATCATGAAATCCCTGGCATTTGTCAAACACGAATCATCTCAACTTGGAATTAACACAGTGTGAAACTACAACCAAGAAAAACCATGCAACTACGCTGATTGTCTTTTATTTGCAGGAAACATTTAACATAAGGGAAAGTTCCTGGAGAGCAGGGCTAGCACCATGGGCATCACTGGGCATCCATGGTCACAGTAAGTCTCTATCTGAGCATATTTAACAGTGAGGGGTTCCCCAGTAATCTAGGAATGTTTGCATTAAACTGCCAGTTTTTTCAGTCCTTTTCTCTGGGGACATTGGAAAAATAATTTTGTGACAATCTCTCAAACGTACTGCTGAAACTGGGAGAGAGAAAAATACTGCATGCAAGCCCCAAAGCATTTAGTGATGGTGAATCATTGGAATTAGCAAAATTTTTTATCTGAGAAAAACTCCTCTAAGCCTAATTGGTACAGTCCTCAAATTCTTGCCTGGTTAGACATAGCTGTCATACAAACACTTGCTGGACAAGAAAGGGAAACAGGCACGCAGTTCCGGGTCTCCAAGAACTTTTGGATACCTTCTTTTGCTCAGCATCCTGAATTATCCAGGAACAGATCCATATCGTTCCTGAGTTATTCTGGCTATCAGCTGACAAAGTTCCTAGCCAAACAGCTGAAAAACCAAAGCCTGGTTTGGAATTTTTGAGAACAAAATATGGTTGTTGTCACAAGATTTTGGGGGTGCTTCTTCAGGGTGTTGTGAGGAAAGTGGTGTCCCTTAACCCTTCCTGCTTTTTTGAAGTCTTTGTCTCAGGATACAGATTCTCAAAGTTTATCTTCTCATAACATCCTCACCTTCTAGTGGTAAGAGACAGAACATGATATCAATAACATACAGATGACATTTAGCTTTGTAGGTGAAAAGAAAATATTGAGGTAACAGCACACTGTTTTTTCAACACTGCTACAGATGCAGCCTCCCTGATGGAAGTAAGGAGAGAATAGGCTTATCTCTGGACAGCAATAAATTTTTACAGCTTTTAAAAGAGGGAAGATGAGCTTGTTCAAACACCTACTTCCAAAATTATTCTACTCATACACGAAGAAATTTCCCGTGTATTTCCTGTTTCCCTCTTTCAGCATTTGCCATTTCCTTGGATACTTGCGAGGTCTTTTGAACCGAAGCCATGCCTTATAAATCCCACTTTCCCATGGAGAGGGGTTTCATGCCAGGGAGACAGGTGATAGAATTGGACCCCAAGCCACGCTGCCTTATTCTGGGAAGCATGTGGATGGGGTGAGGGAGCAAGGCACCAGCACACAGGTAAGAAAGTTGAGGTGCCATTGAGTTACTCAACAACTGCTTCCAGTTATAAAGACAGAGCAATCAATGGGCAAAGCTGGTAGCACAAAAGTGACAGTGCAAATCTCAGCAAGTGCTCCCATTTTTTATTTTTTTTTGCTTATTTTCTGCCTAAATTGTGTCACAGAACAATATATATGCTGACAGAATGCATGGCTCTATATAAAGCCTGCAATTTTTCCTGGAGTGTGGCCAGAATACAACATTTTATGTATTTTACAAAATCTGCATTTTCTCACATTTTTTCATTGTGCTTGCACCCAGACTCAAAGGGCTTATAATGAAAATGTAGAATAAGATGATGGTAAACAAACACTAACCTAACCTAAATATTACGAATATTTGAGAAGAAAGTGAAACACACTGGTAATCCCATAAATGCAGTTTAACATCAATATATATTAAAAAGATAACTCATGTAAAAGCTAAAAATTCAACTTAAATATATTATCAACTCAAATTTCCAGTAGATGTTTTTGGAAACAAACAAATTAAGTGCTCTAGGAAGCTGTTTCTTCTGTGTCCTTGTGTTGTCTCCAAAATCTACTTGCTTCTCTCTTTTACAGGAACATCTAGGTCTTGAAAGTTTTTATCCAGAGACCCCCTTTCAGAGTGTTCAGCTGGCAGTTTATTTTAAGTTGTTGCCTTATTGCTGCCAGACACTGATGATTAGGCCCAGATTAGACCATTCTCCAACTGCCATATAGAATAAATTTATCTTAGTGTGAGCATTATAGGATCATGGCTATATTTTGCAAAGTGTAGGCTATAGCATGTATTGTACTGCTGTATAACTCAAAATTTCTATCTTACAAAAATGATTGACTTGATGCTACAGGAAATATAGTTTCAATGCAGAACTGAAGTAGCTTCCCACAGAACTGTGAGGATTTGTGTTTGCTGTCAAAAGAATCAACGTTATCTACAAATGTGTCTGGAAGATCAAGGGTATGAAGGCAATGTATAAGTTAGTCCTGCCAAATGCATTCTGATAGCTATTGCTTACTTGTAGGGAATTGCCTTCAAACATTTCTGTGATGGACATGTGCAACCTTCTTTTTAGAACCAGGTGAGTTACTTTTCAAAACCAAACCCTTGATTCTCCTTTCACAATGCACATAAATAAAGGAATTTGCCATTCTTTTGTAAAATGTAGGAATGTCTTGTGTCTCTGGGTAACAAAATTAAATATTATTTATGATACAAAAATTATTTATTATAATTTATAGTACATAAATATGTCATGGCAGCAATCTTTAAGAATGCCAGGTACCATGTCAGAAAACAGCGATATCTCAGTTACTTTTTTATTTTGATTATATGCATATACTGAAACAGATGAAATATTACAGTGGAATAAAGTAATAAAAAAGCATCAGCAAAATTGTCCTCTTTAATGCATGTAGATTAGATTTACTGGTGGCAAATGCAGAGTTTTTAGTCATAACTGGTACTTGTCATTGAAAAATTTATTTTCATTTTAAGATAACTGAATTCTTGGACTGAATGATAAATTGTAAAGCATGCTTTCACAGCCATAAATAAAATCAAAATACCTGCATTTTTATCTTTACTGCTATTTAATTATAAAATGCTACAATACAAATCTCATGAGGTGAGATAAAATGCAAAGAGATGGGAGACCTTAAATAGTTACTGTTTACTGCATAAGAAACATCACTGGGAACAAATTTGTAAGCTTGTTACTCAACTTGCTATTGGCAATGTTTTGATTTGAGTTTTAGGTCATGCCTGAGGCTGTATGTAATTTCTGCTCAGTTCTCAGATGATTACAGTGGTGCTGCACCTAGTCTGGCCATAGGTGATATCACAGGATGATGTTAGTTTGTTGATATAATAGCAGTGATGAAATAATGTCAGCAAATTGTGTTAGAGATAGGAATTTGTCATAGTAAAATTGTTCGTCTGCTACTTACACTTTAAAATAAAATATTATACAATTCTCGACTGAGAAGGGGTGAGGGGCAATGGAACATATATGGACACATTTCAAATTTACTGTGTACAGAAACTCTCTAGATCTCTTTTATCTGGCTTCTAGATCCTCTAGATCTCTAAGGCTAGAGGAGGGATTGTTTTCAGGCTTAGGAAGCATTTTGTGTGTGGACTTAACCAAACACCTTTTGAATCCTGGTAACTTCACGTTCTTTCATGTCTTCCTTCTGTGTTCACATGGCACAATCCTACAGCAGCATTCCATCTCCACCACCATAAGTTGCCATCACAGTTGGATGCCTCTAGGCTGAGATAAAGCCCTGAAGTGCTGACCCCTCCTGCCCAGTCCAGTGCCCTCCATTTCGGGAGATCCACTCCATCACTATAAGCAGCAGTTTATTGAATTTGTAAATAAAAGGGCTCAATTTATATGCACCTCCTAGAGACAGGCCTCTTCTCATGTAGCCCACATAAAGTGACATGGTTAAGAATTTAGGTTGGAAATAGCATGTGTAGAATATTAGAGGGGGATAACAAACATTGTCCTTGTGCAAATAAAAAAATCTCATGTCTTCATGTTCTACCTGATGTCAAACTGTATAAATCTGAAATATTAGTTTCTTAATTTCTGAAACATTTTCATGTATTTGCTGTACAAATTGTTTAGCTCTTCTTCCTATTAAATGATGGCAATAAGGGGCACAAGTCCAACTAAATATTGTTACCCTGAATGAAACTGGAGAATCTTTCCTGGTTAGATTAGTAGGATTTAGACCTGATATTCTCTACCAAGAAAGAAAGATGATACTGAAAAATGTGCTGGTTTATCTCTTCTAAAAATCACTCTGGCTTAATTAGAAGTTAATAAGAATAAATATTATAGAATTCCTACAGGACTGATGTGCTATTATACAGCACCACATAAA